TTTTCATGTGAAACTCGAATTTGATTTCCGCCACGTAGCTCCCCATTCGGCACCTATTTGTCACCTTTTCCTATTCATTATTAAATATATTTTTCTTGTTTTAGGCCTCTAATATATTTTTCTTAAAGAGGAATGCTAGCAACCTTCTCTCTAACCTTCTCCTTTGGACCTTCTCCATTTTTTGCTTGACATGTGTCATTCTTTTTACACTTAAAACAATGTCATTAATATATTATACAAGCTAACTTTTGTTTTCCAAGTTTACCCTTATTAAATGTATTCAATTTATCTAAAAAAATTTCACAACTTTCTTACCATCTTACGTTTAAAAAAAAAAAAAGACGGTAAAAAAGTTGTAATTTTTTTTGGGATAAATTGAATACATGTAATAAGGATAAACTTGGAAAACAAGAGTTAACTTGCATAATATATTAATGACATTGTTTTAAGTGTAAGGAGAATGACACATGTCAAGCAAAAAAGGGAGAAGGCCCAAAGGAGAAGGTTAGAGAGAAGGTTGCTAGCATTCCCCTTTCTTAAAATATCCACAGAATTTATAGAAATACTTACAAGGGCTTTACTCTCAGACCTAATAGTTTGGGTCAGCTCAAAAGTGTGGGCTCATCTTTTTTTTTTTTTTTTTTTTCAATTCTCCTCCACAAACATGGCTCATGGATGTTGTCCAGTTGAGACTATTCAGGATTGGGGAAACGTTAGTGGCATACGAATATTCCGAAGCATCTTATGATTGGAAGCTGCTTTCTCTTACAAGTATGGCCCCTACCATGTAACAATTATAAGATGTGACAAAGTGGATCGGATCCTACCCACAATTTAAGAGAGTGTGTGCCAAAGAAATACTCATGTACACACACAAATTAATAACGAGACATTTGAGTGGAAAAGCAATCAAATCATTAAAAAAAATGTTACGGTTAATCACTGACGCACATGTCGTGGATGAATTCTAATTATCCATCATTTTTTAGTCGTAAATGCATTCATGATCAGAAATTGCGTGCATGCTCGTGTATGTCGAAAACTACTTGAGCACTTCTTTAACAATGGCACATGGTAGCATGAAAGTAAGCTTACTTTTGGATAATGAAGTTTGGTCTCACCCTCTAATATATGTGGTTGGTTTTATGTATTTTCCACATTCGTGCATTTAATATATGGATAGCGTTTTTTTTTTTTTTTTGGTCAATATATGGATAGCGTTTATAAAATGGTTTTTCAGTCTTTCGTTGTATTGTTGTGAAAGTCAGCGAAGGTGGTATTGTTGTAAATTTGAAAGCGATTTTGGAGATGGATGGAGAAGGACAGCAATACGTGGTGGGTAGAGCACAAATGTTGGTTCGGAAGCCAAAGGGAGAAACATGAAGCCAACCCCATCTGACTAACAAACCGAACTCCCTCCCTCATACTTTGGCTTTGCATCTTTGTTTGCAACGCCAGGAAACTGCACCAAAACTTTGACACCTTCTCTCTTCCATTTTTCCTTTCCTGTTTTCTTATTTGTTGGATGGTTTTATCTGCTTCTTTGGTTTATGATCAATTTCAGGCGCAAACAAGAGGAAGACATTTCTCTGTTCTACATGTTTCAGGGTTCTTGATTTGTTCATCTTGGCGCTTCTGATCTTTGATAAGTTTCAAGTTTCATTCAGTAAAAAGAACCTGGGAATTTTCTGGTGTGTGTTCTTCCATTAGTTAAAATCATTTTTTTAGTAAGAGTTCATACTTTCATTAATTTCTCTTATTCTTAATCAGTTTGTTTAGTTTCTTGAATTTGATAAACTAAGCATGGGATTATTGCCAAGTTACCATTGAAATGAAAAAGTAGTTGACTTGTGCTCCTTTTGGATCACTTGAGAGTGAAAAGTTGTGATATGATTCAACAATTCAAACCAGTTGTTGTATTTTCTGTTTTATTTGAATTGTATGTATCATCAATTTGTGCTCTATCTAATTTTGAATCTTTAAGTTGGTGAAAATGGTTTAAGTTTACTTGGTCAGTGCATAATTGCATCTATAGTAGCACTAAACCAATGGCATGTTAGATGGTTTCTGGCATAATTGATCTTATTCGAAGTGCGATGATGTGATGCCGGAAGGCTGGAATTCAGCTGCACAATTCTTAGTTTGCTCATCTGTTTATTCAGTTCTTTTCATTGAAATTGATTCTTAGTTTTCTTCATCGCATTTGTTTGCAGTATGGTTCGAATATCAGCTGAAGTGTTCATTTACTTAACTGGTCAGGTACACTAGTTAATTTCGCTCCTGCATCCCAATTTTTCTCTTATTAATTGGCAATGGGGGCTGTAGTGGGAAAGGGCGATTCCCCTAGACAGTTTTCAATCCATGAAACGAAGCTAGAGGCCAAAATGGTTGAAGCTATGAAGCGCAGAGCAGTTAAAGGAAGTGTTATGAAATCGTTTAACAGCCTCATCTTGAAGTTTCGAAAGATTGACGAAAGCTTAAGAAAGTGCAAGGCTATTTTTGAGCAATTTGGTGTGTATCCAGTTCTTATACAATTGTATCTTAAACATGCATCTGCAAAGTAAAACATGTAGTAAAAATATAGGCTTAAATTTTATATGTTGTGATCCTTAGCAAAACAATACATAGGCATCATCAATGTTTTCATTGATACTAAAGGCACCCTACCAATTTTGCTTTGCCTAGATTTGAACAGTCTAGGTTAAGCATATTTCTTCCATTAACATATTCCACCAAAGAATATGCTTTTTTCTTCTTCTGTTTTCCTTGTCCACGTAATTGGTAACTGCTAAGAGGTTTGTTCTTTTTCGTTTCTTGACAGATGAGGATTCAAATGGCGCAATCGATCAAGAAGAGATGAAAAAATGTTTTTATAAACTGGAAGTCTCTTTTACAGATGAGGAAATCAGTGATCTCTTTGAGGCATGTGATATTAATGAGGACATGGGTATCAAGTTTAATGAGTTCATTGTTCTTATTTGCCTAGTCTATCTTCTCAAGGATGACAGTAATGACGTTCACACTGTATCCGAAACACAACTTTTATTCTACATATTCTTTTTTAGCTACCATTTGTTGCTCTTTAACAATTCATAAATAGAGGAATTGTCTGGGAAGCAATCCACATTTTCCAGTTTTCTTTTCTTTTCATTTGCTTGTTCTCTTTGTATTCCATGACTTTCCTAGAAATTGCATATGGAAATGCCAGATCTGGAGGCGACATTCGAAACATTGGTAGACGCATTTGTGTTCTTGGATAAGAACAAGGATGGTTATGTCAGCAAGAGTGAAATGGTCCAGGCCATTAATGAAACTACAACAGGAGAACGCTCCTCTGGCCGAATAGCCATGAAAAGATTTGGTCTGCCTCTCTTGCTCCCTCTATCTCAGAGCAACACACTCACACAAACACACACATTATGGCATACTAGAACATGTGGTTTCCTTTGTAAAGGATTCTTTTTACTTGTGAATATATAGGGTCGTTATATTCATTAGAATGAATCATTTCTTTGCTACATAAGGATCATTTGTGTATTTCTGTATGCATTTGCTTGGATGATTTGCTGAGAAAATTTTGTAACTTGATGAAAATGGAAGCTTGTGATTCTATTAGTTCGTAGCTATAATGGTGATCTCATAGGAATTACTTCATCTAGTTAAATGGTCCGAAGTTATCTGGTAGAGAGAACCCCTTTGCTTATTAATCTCTCACTTTTCTGTTGTTTCAGAAGAGATGGACTGGGACAAAAATGGAATGGTGAATTTCAAGGAGTTTCTGTTTGCATTTACCCGATGGATCGGAATTGACGATCTTGAGGACGAGGATGAGGACTGAGCAGGAAGAGAAGGTTTGGTAGCTTTTAGCTTCTCCATGCAGTTGGCTCTGCTTTACCATGGCTGATATTATATAATCAAGTCCTGGAAGTTCCAAAACAAGGTCTCATTTGCTTTTCCAATAATGGGCCAATTGTCATAGAGCATGTAAAATTTTACAATGAGTCCTTCACTGAGATCCCCATGTACATAGTTGGAAATGTAGACTTGTTCCAATTTCTCTTATTATCAGCAGTCTTTATTTTACTTAATACTTGATGATGTGTTGTGTTAAAGGATTTTCCTATCTTAGGTTGGGTTTAGATGCCTTTTGTTTTTCGTTACATTGGGAGGAAGGAAACCAGGGGTTTCGATCCTGAGTGCCAAGCAGGGGGGGAAAAGGGGACGGCCACAACCATTGTGGTAACCCTGCATTGGTGATGCCTTGAATCATACTGAATTGGAATCTTTTCGACTATTTCACAATTGTTTTAAAACATCCCCAAAAACATACTATCGTTTCCCAATTTTAAGCTATTGTTTGAGAGTGATTTTGGATGGGCCAAAAATCACTTATATGGAAAATCACTATAAATCACTTAAAAGTGATTATATGGAGAAGCACGTGGGAGGTGCTTCTCTTTATAAGAGATTTTGGCATATACATAATCACTACCAAACAAGCCCTAATTGTGCAAAAGCTTATTTATAAATTTGTATAATAAATATTACTAAGGGTAATTGATAGGATTCTCAGGGTTAATATGGTTTTTTTGGTATGTAGCTGAGCTGGCAAGGTTTGTTAGGCAATTGGTTAGTTAGCTGGCAATTTGCTTTGTTAGTTAGCAGCTGTTATTGGCTTAACGGGGAAGCGATTATATTAGTGGGCTTATGCTCATTCTAGGGCATGTAATTGTAAATCCAGTTTTAATAAGAAATAATAGTTCTGATTCTTTGGCATTGAGTTAAGGTTGAAGGGTTTCTATCATTGTCATATGCCTCTGCATCAAGTCAATTTGTTTAACTTCTAGTAACATGCAACTACTTATTTTTCGGTCTGGACCTGTAAACACATACACAGCAAATTTAACAGAATTAAAATTACAAAACTCATCGTTGACGACAAATATGACAACCAGAAACATTAGAGCAAGAAGCAACAAAAAACATGAAAAGCGACTCTCTGGAACAAAACAAAGAATTCTTTTAACAAGTCCAATGCAATCTAGATAGTACAACATACTCCAACCCAGACAACATGCTTCGGGTAGATCATATGTTTGCCTCACTATTCGTATACACACCATGCCATAGCTTACTCACAGAAACCCCAAGATGGTAACAAAACTGTCATCACATGCTTATAATAGTATAAGGACCGGCTTGGAGAGCAATGCTCTGACCAAACTGTCTAATGCAACATACAAAAGCAAACCCCCCGAAATCAAACTGTCCCTGTTTATGCGATACGTCAACCTCCCCCCCGAACAGTAGGTACACACACTTGATATAGAAACAAGTTAGAACTGGCACACAATGGTGTTGCCAGTGCCCCGATGGCAGTTGTTGGATTGGCTGACACAGCAACACCTGTGGCGTGGAAACTGCTGTTTACTGGCAGAAATTAACAAACAAGCTCCGAGAGCCCTCCAAGAAGAGCATCCATTACCCCCTGGTTTTGGCCCTCTTCATACCAAGACTGTTGTGGAAGGGTGACACAGAACCAGACATTGGAGAACCCTCTTCACGAAGTGTACCATTGAGCATCGCCAACTCTCGCAGCTGCTGTTTCTTGTAGAAATCCTGAGACTCATCCTAATAATATATTTTGAAAAGGAAAAGGAACCCAATTAGTGCCGAAAGTATTCGAAAACATGGTCAAGAGTTTTGCTGTTTTGCAGGCAGAATTCACAAAATTTACTTGCCAGGAAGAGGAAAACCTTTTCCAAATAAGAGGAGAGAACATACCACAGGCCTGAGTAAATCTTCAAGTACCTCACGTGCTTGCGATAAACGAGCATCAATAATTTCAACTGGTAGTTCTGCCTCCACCAGAATATGAAGAGGCTCGTTCAAATGTTCATACCCTGGCTTTCCTCTCATCATTTCTTCCTTCAGAACAAAAATAGTACAGTGAACTAACATTAGATCCTCACAATGAGGACTGAATAAATGGAAATTCTCATTTACAGCATAGCGCAACAGATGTTCATACTTTTGGTATGCATGAATGTGAAATCAGTGCAATCATCAAAGAAGAAAAGTCTCATTATTACCCTCGTCGGATCTTTTATGCTACCACGGCCCCTAATCAGAACACGGCACTCAGTAGTTGCTTCCACTCGTTTAAGAGAGTTCCCCCTAGGGCCCAGCAACCGTCCAACAAAGTTATACTGCAATAATAAAATGATGTCAGACAACAAAAGAGAAATACATTGAGAAATTAACAGGATCTAGCAGTTCATCCATACATTAGGATATTTGTCCACTGGAATATCCACTCGGATTGTTCGCTTAACAATTAGACCAGATGAGCTACTTGGAGAATTAAGCCAGTTTTGTGTTGACGAAGGCTGTAATAAACCTGGCATCTGAGCAGTGGAATCCAAGTACGTTAAAACCTAACATAACATATAGGGATCCGTTATTTATATATTTCACTACACATATGAGAAAATAAGATATTGGTCCTCGAAGAACCTCCAAGATCCTAAAAAAGAAACTCATTAGGGATACATCATTGCAGCTTTGAAGAATGTAAAGAATAAATAACTAAACAGAGAGAAAAATGTACACCTTAACAGATACAATGGAACTCGGAAAATTTCCTGATATATACGACTGTCGAAAACAATGAATTTCAAGGACAGTAAATATAAAATGAATACCATTACCAACAATAATATCATTTTGCAATCCCTCTTGCGTACAGAGGCATTCAGTAACTGAAATGTTTCAACACCATATTAATAATGAAAAAAAGGCTGTGCCTTGTAAGCCAAACTCAATTAACAAACATAACCGAAGGGTCAGTACTCTACACAGGAAAACCAGGAGTCCAATAATCTCCTTTAGATTGGACAAACTCTTTTCAATGCTCTGTATTACTACTAGGAATTGCATCTCATGCCAAGTGTAAGATCTAATCATATGTCATATACTCAAATATGTTCTCTCAACAAACAGACAAAGTCAAATAAATGGAGAACCATATCAATTGAAGTAGAATTCCAGAAGCAAAGCTAATTGATTATCATTTGGTTGTTGATGTTAGCTTCAGACTACCTGTCTCAAAGTGGCAAATTAATTGCAGGCACCTAAACAAATGTTAAGAGTTAGCATGAAATGTAAAAGCCGTGTCAGAAATGCTTCTAAAAGACAGTAAAATTAGATGGAAAATAAGGTTATGTTAAGTTAATGGTTAGTATCCGTACTTCTGATTGAAACCGTGAAGCCCATCCGTTCACATCAGCACCTCCATTTGAAAACATTCCTCCAGAAGCCAGGGGGCTAGCATGTTCAAGCCCACTTTGACCTAAAACTGATGCATTCCCCAACAGTGTAGTTACACGCAATATTTCTGCTCCAAAAATGTCAATTTTCAAGAATAAGATGTACCGGTTAGCATTTGTTATAAGGTTAGCAGTCACCACAAAATGGAGAGACAACACGGATTTTTCTTCTGAGTCAGTTAAAATCAATGTTTCCCCCATGTAATAAATTTAACTTCAAAAGAGTACTGTAACATCAAAGTAATGAGAAAGTTAATAAAGAATGGAAGCCTATTAATTGTAACAATAGTCATGAACACCATCAGAAAAGAATACACGAGAACCCAAGTTAATAGAGGGGCAAAACCCCAGAAAAGAATATACATCCACAAAACATCACCACCTGATATGATAACACCAAAACCGCTAAAACCTGAGAAATCAATGTCAATATTACGATTCTAACAAAGATACTTAGATTCCTCCCGGAGAGAAGGAAAACCAAAAGAACAAATACCCATAAAGAAGCAAACAACAAGCACTCGCAAAAAGAAAGAAAGAAACACTTATGGATCAAGCTATGTCTTCAACTAGGAACTTGGTGAATGAATTTGCTAATGTTGGATTAAAAGATAGACTACAAGTCAAAAACCTTTACCTCAGAAAGGTTCACCTTTTGGTTGGGACAGGTGATTTCGTAGTCTTTAGGTATCTTTGTTCGTAGAAAGGAGAGATGGTTGGCAAAAGGAGGGTCCCACCATAAACATCCAAGGACCAAGTCACATTGGCAGTATCACTTTATATATGACGGCCAGGTTTATCAATTGTTATTCTCTAATTAAAATGAAAACACCCAATGCTTGTTATGTCAGCATCTTTCCCACCGATAAACACAAGATTTTACTATTATCCTCCCTTTTGGTCTTAAAAAAATATTTCTTCAACAGTTATTTCGGGAAAAAACATCATTTGTATAGACAAATAAGAAAAACAAGGTCTATAAGAGAAACCGAGAACTAAACATTGAACTCCAAGTCAGACTAAACAAGGTAACCTATCTCCTACCTCCGAGGTATGTGAAAGAACTAGGTGCTAGAAGAGACATAATCAAGAAGGATGGATTGAAGTAATGGTATTGCACATGCAATCATTATAATCCTATTGTTCTTCATATGCAAACCAGTTGCCTGTGATATGTGCACCTCTTCAATACTTTCCAACAATTATGAATTTGGAATTGAAACTGGCATTCCAAACCAATAAACTAAGTGATGGTTTTGATAATTCTACCCCATGAAACAAAGTACCCCTGAATTTTTTAGATGAGATCAGCATCCTTCATTGGATTTCTCAATACATACAGCCTACAGGCATGCAATACAATGTAGCTCGAGCTAAATGAAATCACAAGACAATTAGTCCCAACTTAGTAGTCGCTTGTCCTTGTAATCCATTACATATCATTAGGAAGTGCGTGCATAAACTAAACTCAACAAATTTGATTAGCAGGATCATTAGCATCTCTAATAACTTAACACATATAACCAAGTTAAAGTAATTACGAGTCTATTAAGTGAGTTGAGCAGTGATGAATTTCTAATGGTACTATGTTTCACCACTTTGAGTGTTTTGTAAATGTTTGCTTCGCATAATCATGTTAGATGAAAAGGGTATGTCCCCATATAACCTGTGAAGTTATTCAAATCGTTTGATTCGGGTTGAGCAGTTACTGATCGCAGAGTCTTCACATTTGAACATTGCAATTGTACCCATAAAAGCAGTTTAGATAAACAATAACAAGCTGAATTCAAAGTTCGAAACTGACCTTGGTTTATTAACCTGCAGCAATGCGGTAGCAAAGGCAAAAATGGACCGAGTTTGTGGCGCTCCGCAAGTAACTCAGATAGATATCTGGAAACACAGAGAGTAAAGCTATTATTATACAACATCATGCTTCGCAAAAAGAAAAAAGAAAACCAAAAAATAGAACGATATTTATGATGATGATGATAATTGATAAAAGTCAACAAATCAATCAATCAAGCTCAAGCTTTCTTCTTCACAAGAAATCTAGGCAATCGATAAATTAAGAACAGATCTCGCGACATACTTTTCTTGCTCGGCGGCGACGAGAGCTGCGGATGAGGCGGAGCGAAGGCCGGAAAGGTGAGGAGAGTGAGGTGCCGACGGCGACGGCGAGTACGACATATACCTTCCACCGCCCGATGATGACGTCATTTCCACAACGCCTCAACCGTCCGATCGTCGTCTTCTTCTCCCGGTCGTCTCTGTCTCTGAGTCTGGGGGGACTCTGTGTGTGTCTGGGGCCGGCTGGTGGGACGATCGCGATTCCCAACCAGACGCTCGCTCTCTGTCTGTCTCTCAAATCTCTCAATCCAGGTCTAAGCGTCGGTGGATTTTCATTTATACTTACACTGCCTTTTACTTTCTACCTTCCCCACTACTACTACACCAACTACACAGTAACTTTTTTTCTTCTTCTTTCTTTTTACTATTATTTGGAAAGTAATTTCTTTTGGTATGCATTAATGAGTAATCTTCTATATGCCATATGGATTGATTGATATGTCTATCTAAATATGATATATGATAATGTAACATGTCAGATTGTCTCACAAATTAAATTGGTCAATTTGTGGTGGGAATTGATTGCCCGGCATGTGCAAACTTTTTCTCGAGTAGTCGATAAACCTATTTGTGCATAGAATTTCGACTAAAGATGCAAGTTTGTGTTATTAGGAAATTAAAATTAAGATGTTTAATGGTGGTTGATTAGTGTGAAACCTATAATAGGTCTTATTATTATACCAAACCTCTAGTATAGACTATGGAGCTAGAGGGGTTGGCCATCAATGGACTCTTTAGTCTCAAGTTCTCAACCATGAAAATTGAAACCCTTGAGAGATGCTACGTGGATCAATTTAGACCCATATTTTCATTGGCATGTCAACATTTGTTGTATATGGTCCTATCAATTCTTTGATATCGCTGTTTCGTATGGCAATGAGTTTTCTGATTTTCAATATTCCTAAATACATATAACAATTGCTGCCAATTATGTTGACTAAAAACATAATTTATGTGCAATAAAAGCATCCTCTCCAATAATGCTTTGAAAGAAAGAAACCCAATTATAAACTTCAGCGGTTGGTATGGTTTGACCAATTAATCCAAATGTAATGTACACTTTTGTATGAGCTATGAAGACAAATTGACCAAGTATTAATAATGAACAATCCTTCTTCTTTGCCATTAAATTTCATCATGTTTATGCGTAGTAGTATTGGATCAAGGTCAAAGCAGTCATCAACTTTAATTTTTATTCATTCAAACCATCTAAAAATCACCATATAAAAGAGCTATTGCAGTACTTCTAGTTCTTATGAGAAGGAGATTTACATGATAATTATCCCTGCTTTGGAAGTTCTCACATATGAAATGTAAATGAAATCTTTCTGGTATAAATTCTCTAAAAATTCCCACTAAATGGGTTCTCCCTTGTGCATTTGTCTATAATCCAGCACCTGTTTCTTTCTCATTAATGCATACTCAAACAATTACATAGATATATCAGTAGGTGCTTACAGTTACCTTCCATAGGTATCATTAATCCCCATCCTGTTGTTTTTTCTGCATTGTAATCGGTAATCCTCATACCCAGATACGCATGTAAGAAGTTGTCAATCAGATTAGTGGCAAATAAATATTCTCTACACGCTTAGATGGATCATGAAAATTCTGTTTTCTTAGTCCGAGTGATCACGGAAGCGGATAATTCTGTTGATGAAGGATCTCTCGCGGCGATATCTGTTGAGGAAAATATTACAGGTGATGAATATTCTCATGTGCAAATTAGTAAGAGTAGCATGACAATAACAATTTCAAGGTGGACACAGGGCACAAGAAGATACATGACAAACGACGACATGCAGAAGCAAGCGACCCCAATGGAGAAATGAACAAAGAAAGTCGGCCAGAAATTCTCCCTGTCCAGAAATATCCTCTCAGAAATAATAGTTGTTATTCCTGAAAACAGTAGGACCTTCCATCCTGAAGGTAAGCATCTATAAAAAGAAAATGAGGAGGAATCCTGTGAAGACAGAAGAAAAATTAGCACATACAAGCCTATGAGGTTAAAATCATTGACGAAACATGCGAGATAAATAATTAACATCATACCTGGAAATATTGCTTGATGAATACCCCAGAGTACGCTATTCTCAGGATCATATCTTTACCATGTCAAGAAACCAGAGACTAGAACCAATAAATTGAATTGCAATTGCTCACAATGCACATTACTTACCGATCACACCATTCCAGACTGATGATGTCATCTATATTGCCGTGTCATGTAATTTTTTGTGAAACAAAAACAGAAAAGAAAAATTGAATAAAGACATTTCTATGCCTCAAAAAAATTTCAGGTCAAATGCACCAAAAGTTGAATAAATACATTTCTATACTGTGAGCTTTATACATGGGAAAAGCAGCAACCTTATGTTCTTACTCTCTGACAAAAGCATATGCAAAATGTAGCAGCTGCTTTCTTTGAAAAAAATGAAAAATAACTAGTGACTTTAATTTTAAAAAGTAACAGAAAATATCAGGCAAAAGCTTTACCAAACGAACCTTAAAAAAACTGCCTAAACTAGGAAAAGGATACTTATTGAGTTTGCCAAAATTAAGCCAACAGCACCAGCTGAGTTGATCAGCAGGATATTCAGTACTACATGTATTATTGCGAACATAAACGATGAAAGGTTTGACTGTACTAGTTGCTTCTCTTTTGCAACGGCATGTAGAAATGATTCTGATGTTCCTGATGTAAAACCAAAGCACAATCTCAGTTCTAGCTTGATACCTTTTAGGCACAGCAGTAAGATCTTTAAGTTAACACCAAACACAGCCAAAAATTGATGATATAAAAAGGGTACCAGTTCCAAATGAAAGATTTCAGCAGATTGTCAATGGATTGGGAAACAGATACGACTTATTTTTTCAAACAATCACTACCACTTTAGTATCCTAGTCCTTAGCAGCCTTACTACATCTTAATACGAATTCCTTTACTTCAAAAATGAGGGAATTCGTCATTCGAAAGGAAGTAGCCAAAAAAAAATTTCATATCTCATTAATATTATGCCATAATTAGTAATCGAATGAAGAAATCATAAAGACCCAAAAAATAGAAAAGCATTAACTCAAGTACATGTTGCTTGATATTCCTCTAACTATGGCTCATACGCCTGCGAATATTGACAAGAAGAATCAGAGCATTACTCACCATTCATAGCCAGAACAATTATATAAATGCAATAATATCGAAGGGCTGTTGATGCCTCCCCATCACTCCATTTCTGTCCGTACAACAATCTGATGAGAGAATAAGCATAACTTGGACCAAACGCCATGAATACAAGACCTACAGGATATCTGAGCATCGTGAGACCAAGGAAACAACTAAGGAAGAAGACTTTAAGAAAAGAACAAATATCAATTCCTACTATAGATAATTATCTTGCTCCTTTTGTGGTCATCAACTTGTCCTATTTCATAATGTATCAAAATCAGATCTTTTAATTTACTCATTATACAATGAATCAAAGGCCAATACAAGTGTTTTCACTACCTGATCTCTCTGTTACAACATAACATGCAGTGTCTGCATATCTGCATGCTACGATTAACTTTGTAAAATTTTCTTTTCTAAAAGACATTTTCTAGGTTGTTTGAGTCCCTTGGGTTCTGTTCATCATAGATTCATATGTGATCTAAACGACTGAGATGCTATTACAATAATCAACTCGGCTACTTATTAGATCGAGACTATACACATATATCAATATATATTGTCTATAGTTTTGATCTGTATGAACGAAGGAGAAAAGGAAATTGAAATGCACACATGCACGCACCTATTAACAAAACCAGTTTAAGGGCCTCTGTAAGGCTACTTCCTAGCCTCCTGTCTTTATTTGGGTCATTTCCTGTCAATGAAAGATATTATTGGAAAATTAAAGTTTGTTAGATTTAGCACTGTATGATGCAATATTAATGGAACCATGGATTTTTCTCCATGGATACAAACCAAATTTGAAGTGTGCATATAGCATATGTGAAGAATTATTTGTAACTCACATGAAAGAAACAAAAGCAGAAAGAAATTAACCCAAAATCAAGATAACATCAAAAGAACCATCAAGTAAACAAAAGAGGAAAGTGAACCTGATGCAGACCTTGCAAATGTAGCATAGGAACTTTCTTCAAAAGGAAGAAACACCAGCCTCACCACTAGGCTCCCTAATAAGTGATAAATATCATAAAAAGAAAATTCAAAATTACTGACATGTTTTCTATTCTGAAGTAGTCTCAGAACAAAATCAGCTCTTATTATGATGACAAAGTGATTAATTGTATGACTCAAAAGATCTGGACCAAATAATTACCTAATTTGTCCACAAGTCCATATACGGCTTGGTTATAATATGTCGCCCACCATAAAAGGACAAGACTTTGTCCTTCTTGAAGGATCAACTTCATGAAGGATTGAAGTGTAAACAACTTACACATGTCAGACAGCTGCTCATCATAATGCTTCTTATTCTTTACTCTGTGAAAGTATTAAGCTATCAACTAAAGCAAATTTGTGATAGACATAAGATTTCATTGAAAAACAGTATTGCTTATCATATCCTTTCTGCTAAGCCAGCCAATTGTAATTGTCAATACAAATGAATATGACAAATAAATCTGACGAGTGAAGAAATACAAGTTGTGATAATATTCCACTCAACTACACAAATCCACAAATTTGATAATAAAGATTGACTAACTCCCATGAAACCATTCACAGTGAACATATGACACTGGATTATTGCCTTCCAGATAAGACCAGGGCCAACAAGGCACTCTACAAAAACGCTTGCCAAAAATAAATAAGAAGTCATTTCTGCGGTCGAAGAAATCAAATAGCGTGATGCCCACATATTTGGCCACAAGAGACATCAGCCAAAGATCTTATGAATTCCCTACTTCTCTCCATGTGAAGAATCCATTCTTAACGTATGTCTTTTCAGTTAACATTGGATTATACTCATGCATTATCCCATAAATTTTTTCCCTTCTGAGGAATAACAGAAAATGAAAATTCATCATCTACAGAAAATAATGTAGAATTAGAAGAAAGAAAAAAGAAAAAATACCTGAATGGGAAAATAGCAGAACTTCTACATGTACCAAAAAGAAGAAAATAGACCCAATAACCTAGGAACAAGCACACTCCATATGCAGTTTGTGACAATGAAAATACAATCGCTTTATCCTGCAACCGATCAAATGATCATTCATAATTAGAAGTTGCATCTAATACCATAAATAATCAAGGTCAAGGATTGATAACCACCCTTTAAGTAAGTTCGGTTGGTATGTCAGTTCTAAACACTCCAATTTACTACAGTAACTATCCTTCCTCTTCAGAGAATTTAAATCCTTAATAACAGAGGCCTTCACCTACTCATACTGACTATTCAGGTTCATTGGCAGAATACAAATTTATTTCTTCATGGTCCTCTCAAATGGATAATAGGTAAAAAAGTATATTTTACCAGATTTGTTCCCATGTCCAGTAACCAATAAAATGGTTCCATTAAAGCATAAAATTACTGGTTAAGGAACCAGTGGACACTACCCATATGAGGTTCATATAACAAAAGGGAATCAAACAGATCATTACACACTTCCTTGCAGGTTTCATTTTGAATATAGGGAACAATGTTAAAAAATGAATAAAAATCAAGATTGCCAGAATAATTTGATAAAAGCTCTTACCATGTCAGTTTGCTTGACAATGAGAATGAACATTGTTATGAGTTCTGAGAAAGGATATACAAGGGCTCTGCCAGTAGTTCAAAAATACATGCAGAGCCTGCCACGTAAAAATGACTCATGTCACTGATACATTAATGTGAAACAATTAATTCATTTAAGCAAAGCCAAATGGTCTATGATTTCCAACCATCAACGATTCTTGTTATAAAAGTACTGAAACAATATTGATGCATCACAAATCACAAATGGACTTGAAAACCAAACATATGTCGTATTCATAAATAATTTTTGAATGAGTAGTCATAACAAATTATATGTGAAAATCTCCATAAACAGAGAGAAGCAGCAACAGCAACAAGACATACTTTTCTAAAAGAAAATAATATATATAGCGATCTACCATTAATCAAGATTGCTTGCCCATATGGATCAGAAAAGCTTAAGCCTTTATTCCAGAAGACAACACCGCATGCTGCAACAGTAAGAAGAATTCCACATGGGGGAATTAACCAGGCAAATGTCATTATCTTTGCTATATTTTCTTCTGTTGAAGTACCATCACTGTAGCATAATACATAAGAATTACAGGTCCTTAGTTGGTACAAATAAACACATTGCTATTAAAATGAAGAAGCACCTTTTCATGTCTGCCCGCAGGCATGCTCGCCGAACTCCCTCACGACTGAGAAACAGTACACAGGTGACAAAAAGAGGAAATTGTACTCCATAGAGCTGCCACCAGAAGACAAAAGAAATACACAAATGACTTCACAATAAAGTAATTTAATTTCCAAATCAAATGGAAATGCCACAACAGATATTCATGCTCCAAGCCTAGCTCTTTGAGAGGCTGTATTGAACTGGATTGCTAGAGTGTGGTCCAGTATAAGATTGGACAATTGCCCAATTTAATGGAAGAACAAGTAACAAACTAAAGCTTACAAATTTATCATGTGGGCTACAGTTGAATCCAAAGCAGAAAAAGAAAATATATGGAAACATGTAAAATCGACAAAGATTTAAGAGAAAATCAAGCAGGAACTTGGAAAATGCAGTAAAGGATGGAGAAAGTAGTATATATTGTTACCGCAAAGTCCTCAACTGAAAGGTGCCTGACGATCCACGCATTGAATATAAATGGAATTCCCCTTGACAAGAATTGCGTAGCTGATGCAACAAAAAAGAAAGCAAATTTGCATAATCTTCATAATTGGGTTTGTGTGTGTGAGAGAGAGAGAGAGAGAGAGTGAGAGAGACTGACCGAGCAAGTACTTGAAGGTGCGAGAGAAACTGCTGTCACTAAGTGATTGAGATTGAGATCCAACCGACGAAGCTCTTGACATCTCGATGAACTTTTCTGGGATCTCTCTATCTCTCAGAGTTCAGAAGCGAAAGGGAGAATGAGAATGAGAGACCTTCGAATTCCAAAATATTTCCGATAGATATGTGCATGAATATTAGTTGGGAGTAGATTTTATTATATATCTCTCCCTGTAGAGAGAGACTATACGGTCTGCGTGTGTTTAGAAATTTAGAGAGAGAGAGAGAGAGAGCTATGGAGAGAAAAGGAAAGGGTGTGGTAAGTGAAAGAACAAAGCAAGACAAGGGTTTGGAGACTTGACGAGTTTTACTCTCAGCAAAACAACAACAACAAACCCAGCTCTGAATTTCTCAACCTTGCTCCCAAAACTCTTCGGAATTTCATCCAGTTTTGGGATAAGACGATAATTCTTTGGAATTTTACGACGATGACGACGACGAAGAAGATGGCGATGGCGATGATGGTGGTGGTTTTGAGTGTGGTATGGTTTACAATATAGCCGAACGGCTATACTTCTAAAATATTCAAGCGTATCGCCGTTCGGCTATACTATTAAAATATTATTTTCTTGGCGTATAGCCGGCCGGATATATGCTTAAAATATTCTATTTAGCAAGTATAGCCGGCGGCTATACGTTTAAAATATTATATTAATATAGTATAGCCAAACGGCTATACGTTTAAAATATTTTATTTAAAGAATATAGCCGCCCGGCGATACTTCTAAAATATTATATTCATAGCTGGTTGCCGAGCGGCTATACTGCTAAAATATTCTATTTAAAGGGTATAGCCGATCGGCTATATGTTTAAAATATTATATTCAAAGAGTATAGCCGCGCGGCGAGACCGTTAAAATATTCTACGCAGAGAGAATAACCGGCCGGCTATACTTAAAATATTCTATCTACAGAGTATAGCCGGGCGGCTATATCCTTAAAATATTCTAATTAAAGAGTATAGCCATGCGGCGAAACTGTTAAAATATTATATTTAAAGAGTATAGCCGAGAGGCGATATGGTCAAAATTCTATTTAAAGAGTATAGCCGACCGGCTATACCGTAGAGTATAGCCGCCTTAAAATATTCTAATTAAAGTGTATAGCCATGCGGCTAGACTGTTAAAATATTCTATTTAAAGAGTATAGCCGACCGGCTATACCGTAAAATATTCTATTTATAGAGTATAGCCGCCGGCTATACTGTGTATTTTTTTTAAAAAAAAATTATTCTATTTAATTATTTTTATTTTACGTTGACAACATTGGGCTAAGGCCGAATTTTGGATCCCGACTTGGGCTCAGTCCAAAAAGAGAGAGTAAAAAAGGACGATGGAGGGATTGATTCTCTTCCCGCTATTGATAACAGCAAAAAGTAAAACTTTCTCACTCTCACGCTCTCTCAAAATTTGAACTGAAACATTTGATCTGAAACTCGAAGAATGGCAGAGATGGAGGAAACCACAGTACCCTTTAAGAATCTCACTAGCAGAGAGTACCCAGGTCATAAGAAGAAGGTCCTCTCTTACTATCGGTTACATTTTTTAATCCAATTTCAACCTCCACAAAACCCTAATATCTTGCTCTCCATTTTCAATATTCTAAATTTTGTATGTGTCATTGTGAAAAGGTGCATTCTGTGGCTTGGAACTGCACGGGCACGAAACTCGCATCGGGCTCTGTAGATCAAACCGCTAGGGTTTGGCACATTGAGCCCCACGGACATGTAAGTTCAGCTGTTCCAATAAAATTCATTATTATTTCCCAATAAATTTATTATATTTCTATGCAATGAGGGAATATTTGTGTATATATGTTACAGGGTAAGGTTAAAGATATTGAATTGAAGGGGCATACTGATAGTGTGGATCAGCTGTGTTGGGACCCCAAGCATGCTGATTTGATTGCCACTGCCTCTGGAGACAAGACAGTTCGTCTATGGGATGCTCGTAGTAAGTCATTGCTCTTTCAAGTTTCAATTTTTTAGGTACAAAAAGATTGGAATTTGATGTTATATCCATCTGGGCACTTCAGGTGGAAAATGTGCACAGCTAGCAGAACTTAGTGGCGAGAACATTAACATCACCTATAAACCTGATGGGACGCACATCGCCGTTGGTAATAGGGTAATGTTTACTTGTGCTCAACCTCTATTGTATGAGTTTGTGAATTTTCTGCTTGTGAATAACTTCATTGAATTTTCTGATTGTGAATAACTTAATTTTGTTGAATTATGAGTAGTGGGTGTCAATAGCTAATAGCTATGTTTTGCTGTTTCATATTCTGGTGTTGCTTTTCTTATGCTGATTTTTGCCCCTCCTTACAATGTAGGATGATGAACTAACAATTCTAGATGTTCGGAAATTTAAGCCCATTCACAAGCGAAAGTTCAATTATGAGGTAATTATCGAAAGGGATGCTTCTTTTTAATTTCCCCCTTGTATATTGCATGTTCTTTATGAGTTTTAGGCTATTAATGTCTCATCAGCACAAGGCTTTTAGAAAAACTTTGTTACTCAACCTTGAGAAGTCGTTCAATTCTGTATGATATGCAAATGTAACCTTAGAAATTGACCTTAAGAACGATTGCTTGTAGAACACAAATCACAATATGTTAAGTTATCTCTCTTCTCTTCACACACACACACACAACCAAAACATATTGGCACGCCACTATGATGAGTTGCCGATGTTGAAGCTGTCGAAGTTATGAAATTATCAAGAAATAACTTTTCAATGAACATGGGTTCTTTTTAAATTTTTTGTGGAAATGTCTATATCCCCATGATTATGTTTGCAAGGGTTTTTGTTTTTTTTGTTTTTTTTGTTTTTGTTTTTTTTTGTTTCACGTGTAACTTGTCCATAGATGGTTTTTCTGATCCTTACACAGAGTTGCTTCATCCTAATACAAGGGATGCTGATAAATCCTGTTTATATTATCTGTCTCTGTACCTCAAATACATATTGAGCATTCTTCTTCTTTTCCAGGTTAATGAAATTGCTTGGAGCACAACAAGTGAAATTTTCTTCTTGACGACTGGAAATGGTGAGAACAAGTTTTCTGCATAATTTCTTTCTACATAATGGAACTTGGAATGGGTATTTTATTGTATATTCTCTGGCTCAGGTACTGTTGAAGTACTAGCATACCCATCTCTTCGACCAGTTGACACTCTCATGGCTCATACAGCTGGGTGTTATTGCATTGCGATTGACCCACTTGGAAGGTATGCTACAAAGATCTATTATCTTTTCATTTGTTTAAGGGGAAAAAAACTGTCTGATTTCATCTGGGCCATTAACTTGCAATATTAGTTGGTCCTGTGCATATAAACATGTCCACTTTCATTGATCCCATCACGAGAAAAGAACGTTTATATGCTGTATCTATGTAGTTCTATTTATCTCTGTTCCAAAATTCTCTCTTGAAAATGTCACACGAAGACTACTTTTAGCGCTGCCATATACTCTTTTAAATGCTCTTTATACAATGACAGGTATTTTGCTGTTGGAAGTGCCGATTCCTTGGTCAGCCTGTGGGATATCTCAGAGATGCTCTGTGTGAGAACATTTACAAAACTTGAGTGAGTTCTACCCTGAATTCCCTATTATTCAGATTCTTTTTTCTTTTTAAATTCTCCAGTTAGTGAATAACTGTGGGCATTGCACACATTCATTTACCTTAGGTTCTTGTGTATACTTTAATCATCAGCATCCCTATTCCTGGAATGATCTCTGTTTGTACCTTTCTCAGATCGCCTGTGAGGACAATAAGCTTCAACAACACTGGAGAGTATCTTGCTTCTGCCAGCGAAGACTTATTTATTGATATAGTAAGTACCTTTGTGGCTCACTACAGTTGGAATTTATCTCTTCAAGAAGAATATTCTCCCTTGTGGGAGGATGTCTGGTTACAAAGGCTGCAGCCTGTCATCATAGCTGGCCAATTTACTACTGTACACCGACTCTGTTTTGTAGCTTAGATGCCATTTAAAAAAAGAAGAAGATATATATGTTCACTGAAGTTTATATTTTTTGTTTACAAAGGATTTGTAGCTAGTTCATTCATATGAATTCAATCCATCTTTCATCACCTAAGTAAAACTAGTAACAATATAACTGCTGCTGTATAAAACAGTCCAATGTTCAAACTGGGAGGACAGTGCATCAAATCCCATGTAGGGCTGCCATGAACAGTGTTGAGTGGAATCCTAAATCCAATCTGCTTGCTTATGCTGGCGATGACAAGAACAAATACCAGACTGACGAAGGTGCATTGCTGTTTCTTGTTCCACTAAGCTTATTCATCAACACAAGGCAAGCCTAACTGATGCATGTTTTGGCCCTCAATTTTTTGCAGGTGTTTTTAGGATATTTGGCTTCAAAAACTCAGCCTAATGTCTGACCTCATGTCCAAAAGAACGTAGATGTGTGATTATTTGACAGCAGCTGACAGGTTATGTCCAAGACAAAGTGCGGTGTGTGACCACTTGGTTCTGTTTGTACTAAGTTTTCCCAAGTACTTTTTAAGGACGAGGCAAACTTGGCACTTTTTAAATTTGGCTTAGTGCGGCCTTCTCTGAGAGTTTTGCCCTTTTTCTGTTTGCCTTGTAAGTAGAGCACTTTTGTGCCCGTAACCATTTGGTTCTGAACTTCCATACTATAAAAAAGAACAGCGTATGACATTAGATAGAGCACTTTTGAGCCCGTAACCTTTGGTTCTAAATTTCCATATTATCAAAAAGCACAGCGTATGACATTAGATAGATATTGAGTATTTGACACACTTGTGTTGCTGTATAGACAAAGAACAATATAATTTTGAGTAAATTGATGTTTGAGAAGTTAGCATTGAATGATAAATAATCGCATGTACAAAAAGAGCACACAAGCAGTATCCCCTTGATCTGGCTTGAAGAAGTAGTAGTACATATGCAAGCAGGTTTAAAGTTGCAGGCGCAATAGACTTCAGAGGTAGTGAAGGAGAGAAGATAAACTTGCTAGCTTTCATGTTGAATGATCAGAATCCCGAAAGGGTATGTAATTTGGTTGTTCGAGTGGTCTGGCTAGTAATCGGACCAAAGATGCTTCATCCCCCATTCCCCTTTTGGACATTGAAGAAAAGGGTGATCTTACAGCAGCAAAAGAGTTAGATATCATGACAGATATCTGATACTAGCAGACTTCCCAAGTGTTTGTTGAAGACTCGTATAAACAGTGCTGGTTCGATCAGATCAACCCACGACCAGTAGGCATGAAGGAGTTAAGCAGCAAGCAAGGGCCAGGAGATTGATGGATGGAAGAGTCTGGCCAATGTCAGTGTTGTGTTCAACGTCACGTGTTGGGTGGTTGGAGGGATTGCTTTCTGCCGTCTTTCTTTCCCTTTCTTTCTGCAATTTGCATTTTGTGTTTCTTTACTTTGCA